TTTGTATATATGATCTAAGGAGGGAAAAAACAATGAACAATAAATCCTGACTTTTTTTGGGCTTCTTCCTTGTGCCAAAGAGGATGAGCCAAATCGCTTGAAGTTGGTGTTACTAAAACAAAACTTATTCTTTACATCTTAACACATACAAGGATGCAGATCGATTATCTTTTACAATTCCAGAGTTCAGATTCTAGAGTTGGAAAAATTACACTTTTATCATATATTGGGGAAAAAATACAAAATGTATCGTTTCCCTAAATTCCTATTTACTACTTCGCAGCCAGCTACAAAGTGATCGATTGTCTCCAGAGGTACGGTCCATGGTAGGGTTAATTTGGTCATATTGTGATACCTAAATGACCACCATGGCCTATACATCTCTCATTGTTAGTATCAGATGTTAGATCATTCATACGTTACTTTGATTCAGATATATCCTATTAAACTCGAAACACAAGACACCATGAAGTCTGACACAACTGCTTCATATTTGGATTATTTATAAGAGAAAGGCATTAATGGCAGAGTAACAACTAAACTTTATACTAAACGTAATGACTCTAATTTATCTATTAAACAAATTCTTTTATTCATGTAGGAATTTGCCATTATTACCTGCATACGGAATTTATGTTCCATAATTAATTCGAAAAGCAGGAACATATTCTTCAGACAGACAATTTTTAAAGAGAGGCAGATTTCTGACAAACAAGATGATAAAGTAAGGGTATCTACATTTTCATTTGAAGTCAACATTGGGCAAATTCTACCGTCGATACTATGACCTTGTTTGCAAATACAGTCTGTGGTTTGGTCAATATTGACTGATGTTTTTCAAACAAATAGCTTGGCCATCATTTTCATACTTAATGGATTATTGCTTTCTCCGCTAACACAATCATGACAAAGAGCACACAGTAGGTGTGACTGGTCGACAGTGGATTCTTTCTCTTCCATGGCACCTGATCTCACCTTTAATGTTTTTAAAGGTCCATGTTTGCTCTTCTCACAATTTGTATTGCTTGTATGAACTTCTGAGCTTGATAATTGTTCGTTTTCTTCAGAATTTCACATTAATCACCTGTTAAACATTTTTTTCAGACATGGAGAATATGAGATGCCCCTCGAAAACAAAAATATCAAACTAATTTATTTTGTTTATTAAAATTGATTTACAACTTTTCTTTACCAGATATACGTCTGAGAACTATTGGAAACCAAAACATAAAGATGATCAGAAGCTTTTTCTTCCTACATTTATTGATGTAAGTGGCTTGGAAGAACAGTTGTCCGAGTCAAGAGAAAGTCCTCCATATGAAGATGGAAGATACCGGAATCCCCAGACAAACAAAGATGATGTTTCAGTTAACAAAAAAGTAATAGAGCTAATCATTCAGGGCAAACTTCCAGATAATTGTGACCTGATTGCACTTTTTAAAGATCTGAAAAGGGGGAGAAAAATGGAGAAAGCAAAGGAAAGGAGAGGAATGGCGGTAGATATTATTATAGTGGTTATATCTGGAGAAACCATAGAGATTCCAAACGCCTTGCTTGATGACATTTATGAAGAGGCAAATTTAAACAAAACAAGTAACTAATGTTTATCCTTGGTTTAAACAGGATTTTAAAAATGTTCAATCTCCAAGCTATGTTTCAAATTTTTTATAAATATATATTTTTTTAAATGGACCTTCTTGTTGACTACCAGTTTCTATACGATATCAAAATCTGTGATAGTAACATGCTTCTTTTAATGCTTTGGTCGCTTACACAAAATTAGTATCAAATGCGGAAAAGTTAATTAATTGGAAATCGAAATGCAAAACTATGTAATAAGAAATTTTATCATTATAGTCTGATATTTTTGTATGGAAAGATTGTTTTGGGCTACTCTCAGAATTTACCTGTGAAATGCATGATAATAGCTCTAGTAACTTTATTTGTGAAAAGATAGTCTGACAAGGATGATCTCGCAGAGGATGTTCTGTTCACAAGATCCCGCGATTCTGATGGAAAATTGAAATATAATAATTCTAGATTACGTTCAGAAATTTGAATTTTAGTGGATTATTTTTTTAAACAGAAAGTACGATTCTTATTTAGCCCAATAATATTTTTTTCAGAAATTCCTGTTTTTGGAGTCGTGACGAAAATGGACAAAATTGATGGATCGGCCAATATCCAAGAGAAGACGAAGGATATTTGTCAGGCACTAGGCATTGATGAACAACACTTTTTAGTATGCAGGTGTTACCAGTCCGAAGATTTGAAGGACGTAGAAAATGACATAAGAATTTTGGAATTCTTTTCTAAGGTAAGCCTCCTAATTCAGGGTTAGATGCTGAAATACTTCTTCGCATCAAAGGTTCCAGTGATTCCTAGTCAAATCGTGTAATTCTCTACAAGCTCTTGGATTTTGTATAATCTTCCAAAAAAACAAACAATGTATGCTTTTCCTTCTTTTAAAGTTGTGCAATCGTCATATCACTGCATATAAGACAAGCAGGGTGAAATTTCGCGATCCAAGTGCTTCATCATGTGGATGCTGTTCAATGTTGCTGATAACAGCAGTTTTTATCCTTATACTTGCTGCAATCTTAAACAGATGGATCAAACACTACGATGCCGCTGGAAAACGATTTTGACATGTGTCTATATACATGTATTCTGGTAGATATCTATTGTAAAAGTAAGGTCTATTGTCAAAATTCCTGCTTAAGGAAAAGAAAATGCTTTGAATATGCACAATATCATTAGTTAGAATCATAACCGCTTACCTATTATCTTTGTAATTTTATTATTCATGTAAATTTTATAATTTTTGTATAAATATAATTCACTTTTTTTCAAAGTGAAACAATATCTTGAATATGTAGTTGTACGTTTTTAACAACTTCAAATACGTTCGTAATCTTACAACAATGCGAAAACAAATTCACTTTTCGTCATATTTTTTAAGAAATTTACGATCAAACCATTATCACATTTAAAAAAAATTATTTTGTCGATGTGTAAAGTTTCTTTGAATTTGAAGAATTGAAACGTCCATATTATGATCCCACCTTAGTCCCCAGAGGTCATGACGTTATCAAACTTGAATCTTCGCAACATGAGCTAATTCAATACCAATATGACTAACATGACTTAACTAATTTTTGTACGTAAAGTAAAATTCCATTTTTAACTCAAGGGTCCATGTAACCTTGAAATCACAAATCCTGGGAATGCTTATCATACACCTGATTTCTTTTTAAATCCAAAATATTCTCACGTAAAGTTTGGATACCTATTTTAGTCCCACCCTCCCCCAAAATCAAGTATAATTCAGAACCACACTGCAAAACCTTGCATATTTTAAAATACGAGGAGCTCCTATAGTTCTGAGGTGGTTTAAGAGTGTGTCAAACATAGCATGTTATTATCGAATCTCGCACAAAATATTGGGTAAAAAAGACGATGCTGTGAGAAAAACACAAAGTTTACAATCACAGGAGAATAGTGGGCGGTGTTACAGAATTGCTGGCATCAATGCGTCAGGTGTTTTAACTAATTTTACAGGAACGATTAAAGTTCAAAAAAGGTTAAGCTAAGGATGTCCCATATTTTTTCGTAAAAACCAAAATGGCGCCGGTGTAGTTCTAACCCCACCGTAACTCAAGATGTTCGAAAATTTTAAATCATGGAAAATAAATAAGATTGCACATGGTAATGAAACTCAAATTTATTTTTTTTGAGTCGAAAGTCAAAAGCAATAGTGAGCTTTGGATTGTTGAAGTTGAAATAATATGAAAAACTATGCACAGAAACCTGCCCGGGGAAAGACTTTTGTACGTCTTATTCGTAAGAGTCCTGATACTTAAGATAATTTTTTGTGGAAAACTGCATTATTAAACTTCAGTTTTATACAGAAGTTGTTTTGCTAATTAAATACAGTGGAGAGCTATCTAATAGACCGAAAATCCAGCTATATCACATAAATAAAAATCTTTTATGAACGCCTAATTTAACATTACTATGATTATCAACCAAGCAAAAAAAATAAAATATGGAATTGCTGATTTATCGTAGCATGTATATAGTCTTACTCTACTTCCGTGCAAATTTTCTTTGAAAAATCTTTTCAAAGAAGCATTTGACAGCACTTTTTCGATGTTCTCATGTAGACAAAAAACGCGATTTTTCAATATGCTAAACATTCTAGATTCTGACGTCATTTTTGGAGTTACTACGTCATATGACAAATGACGTTCAAATAAATGCAAATTTTCTAGCTCTTTTTATTGGTGTAAAACTTATTAACTTTAGTAAAATGGTTAATATTTTAGCAAGCAATTCTCAGAACTTTTCAAATGACCCTCGTATGACTAATTAAAACCTTGCTTTTCTTTCTATTTCTATGTAAAATTTGACACCCTCACCCCTACTTGGTCCTACTTCATCGTCGTGAACTGTGAATTGAATGATTTAGAATTTACACTAAGTTGTTAGCTGGTTTTGTCTGGCTCTGTGGTTTTTGGGAAAAGAATTAGTTTCATTTACTTTACTATTGTTGCCCTTTCCTTGTTATCCCCACTTCCAAAAGATTAAGACCCTATATTCGGAAAATTTTGAATTTACGCAAGAATTTCATTGCCAAGCTTAGATGCAATTTGTCAATGAGAGGATGCTACTGGAGGAGTGGTTTTGGAAAAAAGACATTAAAAATGTGTATTTTACAGACAGACAGTTAAACGACAGACAGCCATTGTCGGATACCTATGAGTAAAAGACGAGGTCACCCGTGGGTACCCGACGATGCCAGACAGCAGGTGATCAGAAAAGTTTAATTAAACTACTGATTCATACGAAGTATTTTGTTTGTTTTTCGACTTTTCAGCATATCTCTAAATGTTTTTTCTCTCGATCCCTTTTTTGTTCTTATTTTCGATAGTTGCAATTTTTCAATTTATTTTCTAATTTAACTTTGTACATAAAAGTTGATACTTCAAACTATTTCCAATTCTTTATTAGTGTTGCTTTACAAATGATGTGGGGTTTTTGTTGGTCGTACGGGTTTTCCAGAGTCGTAATGTGACCACGTTTTGATGACTTCATAAAAGCTGTTTCCTGGACAGTTAGTATGGGCCACATCTCTGTGTGCATAAATTTTGTAGTCTGGTGTCAGTTTATTGTTGTGGACTAGACACGCCAGTAGGTTCTGAAGAGCGGTAATGGCGGCTGCGTTTGGGGGTACCAGTTGGAAATTCCCCATGACGGCTATCCCCTGACTGACAATGCCCCATGAAGGCATATGTCCCCCCACAGTGTTCCAACCTCTCCCTTCATACACGTTGCCATCCTCTCCGATTATAAAGTTGTACATGATATCAGAGTGGCCTGAAAAAGTAAAGAGGCTTAGATGAAGAGCTAAATTTATATAAAATCTACTGCATTGTGTCAAATAAAATATATGCACGTAGTTACAAGATGCAAAAGGTTCCTACTAAAGACAATTATTAATGTACCAGTATTTTGGGTTTTCTTTTAATCAGACGGTTATTAGTTTACAGAGTATTAATTGGTTGATATAACTTGGATCACGAGTGTTGGCTGTCTTGAAATGCATAACAAATTGAATTATAATGTTGTATCTCTAATTTGTGTTTATACTACATGCATTGTATGGTAGTTTTAGATTTTAAAAATGTTTATTCTTTAGTTATCCTTGATTATTTGCATTTGATCTAAATGTACGCGCATTGTATGATAAAGATTTTAATGCTTTATTTACTTTGGTTATCCATGTGAAAACTCTGCATGTCCTTTAATTCTGCGATACAGGCCGCCTTGCTGGTACAATGGTCACGGTCTGTATGGTGGATCAAAGCTACGGTTACGGGAGTGTTCATGTGGTCATGATCATTGGGCGCCCGTGCTCCCCATTCATCACGTGAAATGATACTCACGTTACATGGCGCACTGAAAGCTGCTGTAAATATACGTGCAATTCATTGGAGATTAAATCAAGGAAATAAATTAACTTTGCAGGTTACTATTATTCCTTTGTCCTTTTTCTTTCATATGCTTTTCACCACTGGGGCTAGGTTGTCAGGAATTTTTGCAATATATCCAGTTTTTTTTTTTTTGTTCATTAAAAAAAGTAAAGGGTCTAGACTTACAATCTTGGATTTTGAAAGGGACTTCTGCTCTCGTTTGATCTGATGATCTGCACCTGTCAACTCGACGTGATACGGCTCTTTGGATCAAGTTACTGTTATAATAATATATATCTGTTCTCTCTTTATTTTCCATGAAATATGGAGATAACGAACAGCAATCAAGCTCAAAAGGCCCATTGGTCCCCGTGTTGCACAGTGGTTAGAGCGTCTGCTCTGGAGTCGCCAGGTACGGAGCTGATCTTTACGTCGCGGGTTCTAATCCACTGAGGTACGTGGAGACCTACCGGTCCTTCGGATGAGCCCCCGTGTTATAGTAGGTATTGACACGGAAAAGATCCTTCACTGCTCAATGGCCCTGAGTGCCGAGTATAGGTATAAATTTGCAGCCCTCCACTAGCAAGTGGTGGCGTCTACATATAAGTGAAAAATTCTCGAGAGGGACTTTAAACAACAAACAAACAAACAAAAGTCCAATCGAGAGCAGAGCAATCATGGACCTGTTAAAGCATAAGGAGTAAAGAAATTAAAGAGGCTTGGTAGAATATTTACTGGAACCCGCAATGTATCTTTGTTTGTATTGTTTCAATGGACTTTCGAGCTTGATTACTGTTCGTTATCTCGATAATCCATTTGTACGGATTTTTATGTAGTTTAGGAATCCAGTCTAAGTATTGTAATTCAAATTCAATTTGATTGTAGGAATATTAAAAATATTTAAAAGTGATATATGATTTTGAAGACTTCCTCCTTAGAAAGGGAGCTGTGGGTAGATTGGATTACCACTTGCAGAAATAAATTCTAGCTCCTCTAAAATACAATTAAAATAATGAGCCTTACAAACAAAGACAATGTTGTTACACGCTTTGTCAGCTGGGACCAGTACATATTGATCGTATTATCTATCTTATTCTTTTATTATTAAAGTCAGAAGGATAGATGGTTTTCACATTGCACCTAAATCGCTTAATGCGAGATTTCAACATCCATCTGATAAATGAAATTTATTCCGACAAAGTGTCAAGGTCTTTTTCATATTTGGACCAATGCCTGGCGTGATCATCTACAGAATTCATTATATTTATGAAATTATGTCGCCAGTTGAAAGATCGGGCCTCCCTAAATTTTTGCCTAAAAATAAATGATTTAATGTGATTTAATGTCCTCAATATTAACTATATTTACGTCACCAGTAATGACTTGTCCAGCAGGACTATAATTGTAGAGTCAAGAAGACCATGAAAACATAGAGGGATTATGTTTAAGATGTTCGATATCTAGGCACCGTAGAGGGTTTTATTTTTTGTAATTAAAAAGTTTGGCAACAATAGTCGATAAATATTAGTAAGAAATACAAGATGTGGACTTCAACTTGATATATGGTGGAATATGAGACTGGACCCTTTTGTGTTTAAGAGTATTACTAATATTTATTGCGTCGATTCCTTTGTTGGCAAATTGAAGTTTAATGAATATACGGGTCGCCTGTGCAGTATTTTCTTCCGTAAAACATTGCGATTTAAAAAGCCTAGCTATGACTTGCAATATCCATAATAGCCGGTCCGAGTCTGTATTATTGTGTAGGTTTATAGTTGTAGGGTGAAGAAGAACATGAACACGTTGGAGGATTATGGTTCAGATGTTCGAATGTAGACACTTTAGATTTTTTTTGTAATTGTTTGGAAGCAATAGTCGATGTATATTTGTAAGAAATACAAGGTGTGGTACAATACAAGGTATTTCAGTTTGAAATAGCGGAATAAAGACTGGACCCTTTTGTGACCACGAATACATGTATTACTTACATTAACTGCGTCAAGGAACAAACGGGTTGAGTGAGCAGTATTTTCTTCCGTAAAATCTGCCCGTTTATAAAGCCTATGATTTGCAATATCAATATTCACATATCCGAGCCTGTATTCTGGTGTTCAAGATTCCAAATTTGACTTTCCTTGACTTTTTCAAATAGATTTATGAAAACTTTCAAAAGGACAGAGTAAAGTTTATTGCGAATGTGATGAAGACCTAACTGTGTATTTACATAAGGTATTAGTGAATCAAAAGAGATATCATGTATAATAGGTTTATTGTAAGACTAAATGTCCACGAGTAAGCTTACGTCTGGAAAGGTCGTGCCTAGTTTTCCAATCCAGTATTCTTCTCGTTGTCTACGGAAAGGTGTGAATCAAAAGAGATATCATGTATAATAGGTTTATTGTAAGACTAATGTCCACGAGTAAGCTTACGTCCGGAAAGGTCGTGCCTAGTTTTCCAATCCAGTATTCTTCTCGTTGTCTACAGAAAGGTGTGAATCAAAAGAGATATCATGTATAATAGGTTTATTGTAAGACTAATGTCAACGAGTAAGCTTACGTCCGGAAAGGTCGTGCCTAGTTTTCCAATCCAGTATTCTTCTCGTTGTCTACAGAAAGGTGTGAATCAAAAGAGATATCATGTATAATAGGTTTATTGTAAGACTAATGTCAACGAGTAAGCTTACGTCCGGAAAGGTCGTGCCTAGTTTTCCAATCCAGTATTCTTCTCGTTGTCTACAGAAAGGTGTGAATCAAAAGAGATATCATGTATAATAGGTTTATTGTAAGACTAAATGTTCACGAGTAAGCTTACGTCTGGAAAGGTCGTGCCTAGTTTTCCAATCCAGCATTCTTCTCGTTGTCTACGGAAAGGTGTACTCAATAATGGGCTATTAGTATGATGGTAAATCTTTTCTAGAATTCTAACTTTCATTGACAAAAAAAGATGATTAGGTTAATAAACATGCTTGTAGAAAAGCTACATGTATTGGTCCCCGTTGTTAATTTGAAATCTATGTCCCGATATTCTTTTATTTAGTAAGCCCTTGGTTTCCTCAACATTGATAAGTCCACAAAGGGTACATTCTATTCCGTAGACAACATTAAAAGATTTGCAGTTCAGTTTTTCGCAAGTTTTTGTATAGAGGCACTGTCCAGTAAAATTACTAGTAAAAAGACAGCTTGTAATCAAAACATCGCAGGTTTTACAGATTATGACAGAACATTAGGAAATAGAAGACATGGGATCGGAAAAAGAATCTATATCAAATATATATCCAGTAGAAACTTTACATTCCTTCAATTTTTATATATGCTGGTTTTATAGAAAAACGGGGGATCTGAAGACTACATATATGACATATGTTTAATATCCCTGAGGATTATCTGAAGGGCACCGATTAATTTCGTTGAGTCTGTGTCCCTTAAAAACTCAAAAGAGTGACGCCTTTTTATACTGGGCGATGCTTCTGCCAGTATCATACTAGTATTGTTATACTGTGTACTACTCATGAATTAATAAGTACAAGTATCCTCGGGAAGAGGTTGTCCTCCAGCAGAGATACATATTCGGTGGTTAAAATGAAATATGGCGATAACGAACAGTAATTCAGCTAAAAGGTCAATTGAAATAATACAAATCTGGAGTAGAGCAATCACAGACCTCTAAAAGCATCAGAGGTGGCTCTGGGGTCATAAAACTTAAATGAGCTCACTTTTGATATCAGTCTAACTTTTCCACTAATAAAATTCCTTTTGTAGAAGAGAGACTGAGATCAAAAGTGAGCTCATCTAAGTTTTATGAGCCAGGTGCCATGGAATAGTAAGCATTTGTAGCAACCGCTAATGATAAAACGCCGCTTAATGAAAGAAATATTATTAAGCGTTGCATTGCAACGCTTAATGTCATGAATTATTGCATTAATAGTTGACATTCTCAACCGCTAATGCTAAATCGCCGCTTAATGAAAAAATTATATCATTAACGACGACGGACCTAATTCATTTCTGCAATAGATTTTTTATTCAAATTTTAATATGAGGTAAAGTGACTTTTGGTGAGTTAAAATCAATAAAAAAAATCATATGGTCATCGATGTACATTTTTAATGGGGAGCGTTTCAAAAGATGGCGATGTAAATCGATAATTACTATAAGAAGTAATGGGAAATTGCCAGTTTAGGGTAAAAGAGTGATCATCGAAAAAAATTCTGCGATAGAATTTTTATTCATATTAAAGGACAATGTTAACAAGACAATTTACCAGCAAATTATGCCCCCTGAAAAATAAAGGGTCATCGGGTTAGATTTTTCAGGGGGCATATCAAACTTAGATGTAGGGCACATTTTGGGGGAAATTTTCAATGAAAATACCTTGGCCAAATAAATCATTTATTCATAAAATTAACAAATGAATATAAATCGAAATATTTACAATATTTTTTAATTGAAAGGAAACGTTTGAATATCTTTAAAAGAATTAAAAATGTATATTTTTTATCTTCTGCAATACATAATTAAGTCAATTTGATTCAAGGCACATGCGTAGTTTTCTGCGCAGTGGCGCAAAATTTCGAATTAGGTCCGTCGTCCTTAAACGGTTGAGAATGTCAACTATTAATGCAATAATTTATGACATTAAGCGTTGCAATGCAACGCTTAATGATACTTCTGTCATAAAGCGGCGTTTTATCATTAGCAGTTGCTACAAGATCCCATGTTGAGTAGAAACACCTGCCGTGTGCTCATTGTCATGATCGGTCAAACGGAAAAATACCTAGACAATCCCTCCCAAAATCCAAATGGAGAGTTTTGTCTCTCCATTTTTTATGTTCCTAGAAATAAGATATCATTAAGAATGCTACTACCAGCTTTCAGCGGTTTGATCAGCATGTCCAAACAAAAATACAAGAAAAGTCAACACACTAAATACACCATCCTGAAACCGAGTTCCTGTGTTTTTGTCTGAAAATCCAGATATTGTCGATTTTTGTCATTCAAAGAAAAATAAATTTTATTTGGGGATTTCATTGAGGGTGAGATTTTCTTATGAAAATTGTACATAATACACAATAAAAACTTCAAAAATTCACAGTTCAATTTTTCTATGTAGCAAAATTATCGAGTTTCTTATTTAAAGTAAGCTCAAAGCAATGATTAACAAATATTTCATAGACTAAAGAAAATATGCATCAGGTTGATTAATGTTTTGTGATTTTTTTTTAAATTATATATACTAGTATATCTGTTATTCAATTTAGAACAATATTTGACTTACTTTCATACTGCACTAAGGTGCACAGAAATATAGATAAAAAGAACATCTCTCCTTTCGCACCACGTTGCAGTATATATAGATTGGCGACCTTAAAGGTATTAGATAAGACGTGCACTGGTTTTAAGATGTCATAACATGTTATGCACCTTGAACCCAGATTGATAAGACTTTTCTATTGTGTCGCTCTATCGTGTGGATTTTTATGCCCCCGTATCGAATATTCGGGGGTATATAGTTTTTAGCCCTGTCTGTTTGTCGGTTGTCCACAAAACTTTACATTGCTCATAACTATTGATTGGTTGGAGCTTTGGATTTCATATTTCACATGTGTATTCCTTGTGACAAGACCTTTCTTTGGGTACCATCATTTGACCTTTTGACTTTGACCTTGGAGTTCGACCCAGTTTTACAAAAAATATCCAACTTTAACCTTGGCCATAACTTTGGTACAATTGAAGCTAGGACTTTCATACTTCACTTGTGTAATTCCTGTGACAAGACCTTCCTTAGGATACCAACAACTTTGACCCTGTGACCCTGACCTTGGAGTTTGACATACTTTAGAAAGCTTTAACCTTGGTCATTACTTTTGAACAGATGATGCTAGGGCTTTCATGCTTCACATGTGTAATTCCTTGTGACAAGACCTTCTTTAGATACCAACAATTATAACCGATTGACCTTGACCTTGGAGTTTGACCTACTTTTGGAAAACTTTGACCTTGGCCATTTCTTTTGAACAGTTGGTGCTAAGACTCTCATTTTTCACATATGTAATCCTTGTAACAAGTCCTTACTTTGGATACTAACAACTTTGACCTTGACCTTGGAGTTTGACCTCCTTTTGAAAATCTTGGCCATATCTTTTCAACGGTTGGTGCTAGGGTTTTCATATTTCGCATGTGTATTTCTTGTGAGAAGGCCTTTCCTTGGGAACCATTAATTCTGACAATACTTTTGAAGAACGTTTACCTTTTCCATATCTTTTCAATGGTTGCTGCTTGGGCTTACATACTTCTCATGTATATTCCTTGGGACAAGACCTTACCTTGCGTACCAATATGTTTGATTTGCATTTGAGAAAGTTTAACCTTCGCTATAAGTTGCCGCACGGGGGCATCGGTATTTCATAAACACATCTTGTTTGTTCAGTTATAGGATATTATACATTTCTTTTATAATTACATATATATTTTAACATGTACAATTTGAATACAGTAGACATTTTGAATTCAAAGTTGGAGCATGAATCGTACAAAATATAATACTTAGGAACATTAAAAATATAAAAATGCCCTGAGTGCCTAGTATATTTCTGCAGCCCTCCACCAGAAAGTGGTGGCGTCTCTCTATAAGTGAAAAGTTCTCGAGAGGGGCGTTAAACAACAAACAAACAAACATTACTTCTGGTTCGAATCATTTTTTTTTTTCAATGTGATTAAATCAAAATTTATTATTTAGAGCATCATTTATTTACAACTTAATACAAAACAACTGGTAATACTTTAAATGGCTAGCATGAGGAACATTTTGAGGGAACGATCTAGTCAAACTTTTCAGGGACTGCGTCGACTTACTCTTTTACATTTTTTTTTTTCGTGTTGTAATTTAAGGACAGATGATACAAACAAACTTTTATCAAAAATTTTGAAAATAACAAATTAAGTCGGGTATATATAAGTAAAATGAATATAAGTTTAACTGCATAGATTTTAATTTTTCATTCAAAGTTTCACAATTATGAGATTTAAAGTGACAAAAAATTGTATAGATTAAAAAATGTGGTTAAGAAAGGTAGAAATTTAAACATTGTGGCAAGTTTACAATTTCTAGATATTTTAGAAATTTATTATTTGCATAATTTACATTCAAAATAGGTCCAAAAATATATATCAATCAAGGCATCCATTTTTATTGGTATCATTTGTCCTTAAGGCCATTGAAATATGAAAGCTTGGTTTGTTCTACTCCTAAGCTTCATGTGCAGACAGAATCTTTGTATGAAGGTATCAACTATTTTTGAGCAGACTTGTTATAAAGGACACCTTGATCATAAAACAATGTGAATAATCATTTATTAAACTAAAACCAATACACTTTAAGCGAAATATAGCGGGAGAAGCCAGGAAATGTATCATGAACTTGACATCCTGAAATCGTTCAACTTCTCACTTGATAAAGAAGCAACTTTTGCTTGTGGGTCCTAAAATCTAACATCAAATTTATGGGACGTCAACTGAATTTAGGATGTGTGTGTGTTGGAGGGTTGTTTGTTTGTTTGTTTGTTTTGTTGTTGTTGTTTTCTTTTTTAATTGAGTACTGACCCTCTATCTTTCTGCCTATTGTTCACTCAACGTTTCCCTTAAAAGGGAGGTCAGAGGAATTCAAAGCAGATTAGATTAGTCAGATACTAGAGTTGTCTTTCATTATCCACTGCTACAGAAAATTCTATACAAACTGCACAAAAATAATTTTCTGTCCGTAAACGTACTTTTATATGACAAATCCGTTTTCCTGCCACAAAGCAATTATCGGTGCCACCTATCGCGAGTTTTCGCTTATTATGAAAACAAAGCGTACATTACATATAATTCATCGATATGAAATCCAATATATGTATAAACTTTTTGAAGTAATTTTAAAAATAGCCTCTCTCTCTCTCTCTCTCTCTCTCTCTCTCTCTCTCTCTCTCTCACACGATTTTGCTTGATCACACATGTACAAGATAAATATTCAGAAAGAATTATTTTATTCATTACTTGTAAAATACTTTCTGGTGTAACAGTTTTTAATCCATGTTCATTTTTTTTGTTTTTGTTCTCCTCCTTAATTCAAATTCGAATGCAAATTCGTTAAAACAGATTACTTATTATATTTCAAACTACAAAAAAAAGAATAAGAGAAGTTTTTTAAATATAGCGTTTTTTTCTTGTTAAAGGTGATAATCACGGGTTTATATTGCAGTAAATAGTAACAGAGAGAAAGCACACAACATCCTCATATAAAGATCGCATGTGGAAATGTATCTCTGACCACAAAACAGCCAGGTTTTCATTACATTTTCCGGTATTGAGACGTCAAACGGAGAAATGAGGGCTACTAATTCGCCTTAATAGACATTTGATTAGGATTAAATCTGCGATTTATTGCTCTGTAATTACATTATAGAACAGAATGTTTCCCCGAGTTTTCAAAGGCAAAGTTTGGAGATTTAATTACGAGCCCTCTTTGCCACACATCTGCGTTATTAAGGGCTGCCAGAGTAGCTCCTCCGCGCTTCATTTATTGTCCCCTCAGTTTGTGATTATTCAATTGCTCGTTCTCCGTTCGATTCATTGGTCTCTCAATTCAATTCCTCGTCGAGTAATCGTCGAAATTTGTCACATTAAGTGCTTTATCTGTCATCGCTTTTTAGACGGCTACTTTCAGTTTGCTCTCCTTAATTGATATCCGTTTGGTCTAGGCTTTGTCATGTGGCAAAAGACAATTCTGATACTCCTGGAAACCCTTTGACAGAATACTTAACTAAAACGAGCATTAATTCTGATTATTTCCGATGAAATGCCATTTATCATCATTAGTAGCGACTTAAGATTGGTGGGCTAACCCCGATACTATAATGAAGAAATTGTAAGATTATTTGAACTTCATAAAAGTATTATTCGTATTGCCTAGAAGTGCTCTCTGTGGAAAAAAGAAGTTATCATTTGAACATTAAGCGAAATTGGGTTAGAATTATCCCTCTTTTAATTTACAAGATAATTGTGTGGTTCCAGACTCGATCAACTCTCAATTCAGTCAGCGAATCTGGAAACAGGTGATAACGACGATAATGATGCATATATACAAATAATGATGAATTATCATCAACTTTAAAACTTACATTCTAAAAGCATATATTTTCTTACTACGTGTTATGTTAAAATTATCGGTTTTGTTCATTTTTCTCCTCTTGTGTGGAATTAACGTAGCATCATAAGTCTATACTGTTAAAAACTGTATTTTTTTTTCAGCTTTACCTTACAGGATAGACAATTTTAGTTGGCTTTACTAGTACATCCATGTCGACACATTCATGTATGGATGCTGCATTAAAAAGCAATATTTATATTATCATAAGAAGATTTGGGGGGGGGGGGGTTGAAATGAAGAAAAAGATTTACACCTAGTACCGTAAATACTATTGTGGTCTTAATTATACTATATATGTGAATTGTTTGCGGTTTTACAACACGCAAGATATTTTCTGCGAAATTCTTTTTAATCAGCGATGACGTTAAATGATTTCCTTGTTGTTAAATCTTGTTGCATTATTATGCTTTTATAAAACTGACGACCAGATGAGCACGTTAGTCCATTAGAGGAGAATTTGAGCTCGGGTTTTGCTCTCATTGTTATCCTCTACTGTTTTCTAGAGGCTTTTGCAATGTGCATTGCAATAGATAATTTGTTGCTCAGATAAATCAAGAATTTTGAAATGTTACCAACATTTGAAACATCTTTGTAGACATTAATACTTTATATTTCTTTTTCAAAGAAAATATATCAAAATGCTACTTGTACACCACGAATAATGTAATTGTTATGCAAATAAGAAATTATCTTCAAATGAAGTTTTGTTCACTTAAAAAAAATAGATAATTATGAACCTTACACAAATGCAGAATATGACTGTATAGCCTCTGTTTAGATACAAAATATACCGGCTATCTTGGAAGGATATAGCTACATTGAATTGTCTACGGATTTTTCCGTTTTCCCATCCTGACAATGATCATACGGAGCGTGTGACCGGTCAGCAGGGGATGCTAACTTTTCCACGGCACCTGATCCCACCTCTAATGTTTTAGAAGTCCGTGTTTGCTCTGCTCTTTATCTGTATTTTTTCTTTGGACTTTCGAGCTTGATTACTGTTCGTTATCTCCATATTTGATTAATAACTGTACTGTTTTTCTACAGAAGCCTTTCATTTCGGTTGAAACCGAAAGGTATAAATTGATATATTAACACATGTACTTGATACAATGTACTTGATACAGGGGAAAAGATAGAAAATAATATATGTATAATAATATTCATGATATAGGTAAGGAAAGATAGGGAAAC